ATGGGCAACCTCACCCCCAACTGCCCAGGGCCTTATTTCTTGGGCCAGGACCCCATGTTTGGGCTGGCACAGGAATGCTCCAGTGTGAGAGCCACAGATGAGCAAGTAACTGGCCTTAGAAACATTCCACAAGCTGGAAGGCTTTGAAGTCTTTTGGTTCCACCATGGTCTCTGCACTGTTCCACCTATCCCCAAACATAAAGAGATTTAGAATGAGAAGAGCTCATCTGCCGCAGTTAAATTGACAGTTCACTGGAGAAAGGTCTTTGGGCACAGCAAACACCACCACAACCTGCTCCAAGCATTTACCAACCCAGGGATGGCACCTGTTTTAAAGGTCTTTGGTGACAATAGAACCCAATGGTTTTCAACCTGCCAATCCTATCTCAGGATAGCAGCTCCTTTTATAGGGTCTATTTAATTCTACTTTGACCAAACTATATTTCTGAATATTAAGGCTCTTCTTAAAATATGCACATAAATCATCACCCCCAAACGGAGTATGTAGTGTTGCTTGAATTCAGTAACAGTTTGCACATATTGGCTTGGAAAGAAGCCCTCTTCTTCATAAATAAGGATGTACAATGTTCAGATCGTCACCATCCTGTCATTCATACAATCAACTGACAAACTTTTCTTTTATGCCAACTGTGTATGAGATGCTGTGCTAGGGACTGTCTGAGTACTAACACACCTTATTCTATCCACTGGAGGTCTGGGATTTTCCTCACCTCTTAGCATGGAGTGTGCTCTCTATAGTGGTGCAAAATGAATACAGCACTGCACAATTGCCAGGCATCTCACAGGAGGTGAAATGTGGCACCAGGCACAGCGCCCCTCTCAGGTAGCTTACAGACAACGCAATGAGTGTGCTGGCAGCCAGTCTTCCTCATCTTCAGGCGGAAACCCAAAGTTTGGTTTGGAAAGGCTAAGTCTGCTTTTTGCAAGACAGCAAGCCGCCCTGCAGAGTGGGCATGGCCTTCTCACAGGCCCGGCTAAGACACCTTAAAAGAGGGGTGTGTGAGTCAGACAGCAGATGTATGGAGTACAAGAACCTCAGAAAACAGCTCTTCTAGGAAATACTTCCACTGCTGTGAGTGGATTTTCTTTCTCTTTCTTATTTGACTAATTTTAGCATTGCAAAGCACATTTTTTTTCTCTTTACAAAAAAATAAACAAACAAACAAAAAATCCTTCTTGAAGGCCAGGAAAATTTTTAGGGGGAAAGAAGTCATTCTTCACAGCCAAAAATAAATAAATAAATAAATAAAATAAACAAATAAACAAAAGGATGGGGAGCAGAGGAAGCTAAAGAAGTTGCCACCTGAACTCTCAGGCTAAAAAAAAATCTCAAAGAGAGGAAGCTTGGAACTATCTTACCAAAAGTGCTAGATATCACCATGCAAATTTCTGCCAGCAAAACTTAAAGGTGTTTACTGGAGAAGAAGATGACCAGAGTTTGGGATTCCAACCTCACAGTGATTGCAAATCAGGTCCTCAGATCCCTGGGACAAACTGACCTGAAGAAAGATGGCTGTGGGCACCAAGTTGTTAACAGCCGGATCATTAGTGTGGAGGCTGGTCGATGCTACACCAGGCTCCTCAAAGGGCAAGAGCAGCACCCTGCTGTCATTTAGCAAGGAAAGCCCAGGGAACACAGAGCAAAGCAGCACATCCTGAGTAGGAGGTGAGCCACAGCAAGCAAACTGGCCGCCATGTTGAATTTAGAGACCGCACCATCTAACTTTTGGCTTCCCACATCTGGTGCTTGATCCAGGCTGATCCAGCTGCATTCCTGAGTATCAGCACACAAGCTTTTCTGCTGATGTTTTTCCCTATTGGGGGAAAAAATGTGCTCTAAACTGAGGAGGTACAGTGTAGGGGTGGAGAGACAAATGGCCAGGCAGAGCTGACAAAGAGTTATAAATGCATTGCTGGAGGAGAAGGTAATGTAGTGGGCTGAGCATGCCCAGCTCCATGAGGCTGCGGGAGTCCAAGGATGCTTTGGCCGCAGGGTGAGTGTGCGTGCTGACCCAGAAAATGCAGAGCTTGTTTGCAGAGCTCAGAGAGAGCCTTCCAGCAACCTGATGTCTTCCCCCTAGGATGTCAGGACCGCTTAACACAAAGTTTGATCCCTGGAGTGCGAAGTCAGACAGTCCTTCTCTTCTCTGCTGTGTGTCAGCTCACATTGTCAAATGTCTTTGTTTCCTAACTGAATCCCATCAGTGTGGCTGACTGCCTCACTTACGTGAAATCAAATGAGGTAGGAAACAAGTTTCTCAACAAGGCTGCATTCTCCAGGGTGCTAAGAAGGGCAAAGCTAAGCTCAGCCCCTGTGGGGGGATGCTATTTATTGTTTCATAAGAACATTATAAACAGAAACAAAAAGAAAAATCTCTCCAACCTGATCAAAGCAATCTGGCATCTGTGCTACTTGTGCTGTACACATCAACATCTCAGTGGCAAAGCCCCAGCCGCGCAACCCCTTGCTAGTAAAAGGACTCCAGTTGGGAAAGTCAAGAGTCCTTATTTATTAAAAGATAGGGCTTGCTAAAATGACCTTGAAGGTTCCAGACAAACTCAGAAGTTCTGTGAACCCTGAGAAGAACAAAATCACCTTGGGCTAAAGAAACACAATTCTACACAGGTAAACACTCAAGTCAGTGACCTGACCAATTATTTCCAGCCTCCACCCCATCAGCAGCACACTGCCTGGCAGGCACCTACTGTGGCGAGGAAAGGGCGTTCACCACAGGCGATCTTCACCTGCTTTATACAAAATCAGTCTCACCACATTCCTGTTCTCACCCAAGACTTGCTCTTTAGCCCACGCAGCGGGCAAGTGCCCAGCTTAATCAGAGCCTGTGTCCGGCGTAGCAGAATTCTGGTGACCACCTGGGAAAGCAGCAAGAACATCTGTGATAATTTGGGGTTGGAGAGCTTCAGACAGATTTTGAGCACAGAGCCAGGGATCCACTCTCTTTCAACTCTTTAACACTAACTTTGGCCTTGAGTTCCCACAGCCTTGTTACTGCTTGGCTCCATGATCCTCTAGCAAATCACTGCTCAGGGTTTCATCCAGAAGTTTAAAATCTAAAAATTAAATTGTCATATAGTCCACGGAGGTAACTCAGGATTAATTACAGCACCTAGCAGTGACTTGCACTGCATAAACACTGAATGGATATACACCCACAAATTACCAAGTACACTGAATGCTGATATCTTTGGGAAGACAGCACCCCACCAGCCATCACTATGTACCCAATCTTGGGGTTTCTGTCACCTTCCAATCTCTTCCCTGACGAAATCCCATAAACATAACTATTAGCATCTTACCTTTCAGAGTTTATGCTAATATTCCATGGATTTACAAAATATAGGGGTGGAGGGCGGCTTCTGAAAGTGATTATTGTGATTTACTGTACTTGAAGAGGGTGGCAGCCTTCGTTATCCCTCCTAAGGGTCCTATCAGATACTGGCCACTGCTAAGCCAACTTTTCCTGCCCCACTGTATAGTAAAAGTCCTCCTATTGGGACACCTCAGAGAGTTTATGTATGTCATTATTTTTCCTGTGTCCAAATGCACCTTTGGGAAGGAACCAAGTGAATTTTTGTGGATGAAGGGCTTGTTGCTGAGATCATGTGGCACTGTGTACCTGAGACACTGTACAGCAGGAGACCTTTCAGCTCGGGTCACCGCCCTGGATGAAGGAGCCAGTGTGGGTAGCGCTCAATCGATGGAAGGGCAATCAGACACAGCATGGATCCTGGCAGGCACCCTCTATAATGGGGAGTCCACTTAAAAGACTACAAGAGTGTGGCTCGAACATGAGCAGCAAAAGGTGGAGGAAAATCATCTTTTCTTAGAGGTGCCACTACCTGTCCTTCCCCAAGAATGAGGGAGGCATGTAGGGACCCTGATGTGGAAATAAAAACCACAAGACACGCCACTGTCATGCAGCTCTCCATGGTAAAGGGTCTAAATTCGCCACTTATAAGCTGTGCACGACTGCAGACTGCAAGTATGCAAGTGGCCTGCGGACGCACTGGCGCACAATTGCCTTCCACTTCTGTGTGCCGCTCCCTGTACCAGCACAGAGCCCTCTGCACACTTACCACAGCTGATTAGGAACTCAGAGGAGGGCTTGTGCACAGACAGCAAGGCTCTTGTTACCTACCTTTATGTTTTTCCTGGTAAGAACTCTGTAAAAAACTCAACCTCTGGAACAGAATGCAGGAATTAGGAAAAACACTTTGTCCAGCATCAGGCTGGGCCTGTTCTTTGGCACACTGCTTCTCCAAACCCATGAGAGATGGAGGCAGAGACAGGGTGGGAGGTGGAGGGACCCTGCTTCACTGACCTCTCCAGGAGAAGATACATACAGGGCCAAGCTGTGGGAGACTGTCCCTGAAAGGCCCTGGGGTCTGGCCCCAACCATGCCCAGCCTTGACCCTAGAGTGCTGGTTTAGAAATCTATCTCAACCCAGAGTGACCTGGGAAGGGAGAGAGAGCATACTGAGTCATCCTGGGAAAGTCACTTTGCATTGTTCAAAGAACCTGCCCTGGGGGCCTCCACTGATCTTCCAAGCTCTGAAATCTCACCCCCCCCCTCCAGCAAAGCACCCCATAATCACCCACTGAAATCCTGGGTAGAGTTGTGCTGACACCTAGGGGTGGGCACAGAAAGTCTGCCTTGTTTCAGGAGAGCAGGCTAGGGTGGCTGACCTCATCCCTCTACCTTGCAGCTTCCTGGTGCCTCCCTGGCTGTCCCCATTCCAGCCTCAGAGAAAACCTCCAAATCTGTACAGTGACACACCCCCACGCAGAAGGCAGAAGCAGTTTGAGCTGTCTTCTACCTGCCTGGAACAGGTAGCCCTCAGAAGACAGAGGTGGAGAATGCCAAGTTCTGTGCCCACAACTCTCTGTCCCTGGGGACACCAGCCTGAGGAGACGGGGATCTCAAACCCTCTGGAGGTAGCCAAGAATACTTTCTTACCAAACTCGCTTGCACAGAGATGCTCAATAATGGCCTCAGATTTCAATTCGTTGTCACATGGAGGACACACAGTTGTACCTAAGAAAGGAAAGGGGGAAACAGAATCTGTAAGTTAGGGGTTCCCCTGAGGAGATGGTCAGTGTGGCTGCAGACTGACAGCAGATAAGGTCTTCTGGAATTCTGAAGAGCAACTGAGATCTAAAAACAAGGGTCCTGGAACCCAGGAGCTAAGCCACAAATAGGCAAATTGTTTCTTTAAATATTTTGGTCTAGGAATGCTGTATGTGACACATTTAGACTAATGCTCTCCAAGGTAGGTGCAGGCAGGTTCTAGGAAATATGACTTAAAGCCTGCTGGGAAACCCTGGAAATGCCTGACTAATAAATCCAAATAGACTATTTGTTATTTGCTTCTGATCCTTTTCCCCATCCTTCATATACCCCCCAAATTCCTGCCCGGTTCCAATGTGCCAACTCCCATGGGTCACCTGGCCCATCCAGGTGACCAGCTCTGTAGAAGCCCAGAGAAAAAGAAACACATTCTGGAGCCTGGCTTCAGAGCTCTGAACACCCTCTTCTCTGAGGCCTGGCAGCTGCATCTGGATAGGAACAGGGAGGAGGGGCAGAAGTCACCAAAAGGAGGAGGGAGCTGGCCTGGAGGCACCTTCTGAGGATCTTTCATAAGGGACTGTGAATCCTTTGAAGAAGAGGGCCATGGGGCAGACCCCAGGAGTGCTGGGCCTCAGGAGAGGGGACCTCCGAGGCCAGGGCCAGTAGTGACTGAGCTGGAAGGGCAGGGAGAAGCACCAAGTGGAGCCTGCAAGGCCGAAGTGGCTGATGACTGTTGCCTTCTCCCACTTCATCACCTAGTAAACAACTCTCTGTTCATGGGGCACCTAGGAAAGCACAGCACCCTGTAAGGACCATCCACACTGGTGCCACACCATCAAGCCAAGCTGCGCTGCAGCTAAGAAGTGAAAACATTGGCCCCTGAGACTGAAGCAAGGGGGATTGAGACGGGCTGCTCCTTGTCTCCCTCTTCCCTGCCCATCTCCAGTAGCTTCTGCATCAGCCCCTCCCTGCCCATGGAGCCTGTGGCTCTGATCCTGAAGTGGGCAAAAGCCCCCAAGTTGGAACTGAGTTGCAAGCCTGTTCTGGGCAGGGTTCCTGCAGCCACAGTCACTCCCCAGACCTCTCCAGCTTCCAAGAAGGATGCTGCAGGCCGCACAGAGGCCTCGCCCTTGATACCTCACACAGCCTCTTCCCCCACCTGTCCTCAGCCTGGCAGATTTTCTCAGTGCAGCAAGAACACACTCCTCGTAGAAGGTGGCTTGAGTGTCTCTGAGGCAGATGTTGGACATATGCTCTGCCCCCAGAACTTGAGACTAGATCCTGGAAGTGATGTTTCTTACCAAAGGAAAACTTGCCCAGAGTTTTCCTTCATCGTCCTTGGTTCCATGGGGAGAAAAGGGGGAAAGAAAGCCCTGTGTGATCAAGAGTGAACTGTGTTTTGTATGTTCCTTGCTTAGTTGTTTCTAATGCTTGTTTATGCTTTTAAGTAAAATTACTGAACTGGAAAATTCTACATATATGATATTGCCCCAAGAAGTAGCAAAGTCTTCTCCCCTACACATGCTCATCTCAGCGCCTGACCCACAGCCTTTGTACCCCACGAGGTCATCTTCCCCTTGGTTGCATATTTGGACTTCAAGGCCTCTTGGTAGCAAGACCTCCCTTTGGGGAGCTCCGTGTGTTTTTTGACATTGCTTTCTCTGTCTTGACTTTTCTTACAGCCAGACTCTGGAGCGGCTGTACCACAGCAAGGAGAGGAATGCATAATGCAATATTAATCTGCACCTTAAGTGTCCTTGGGTCGCTCCTGAGAGCTGCCTGAGCAGAAGAAACCCACCCAGGCTGAAAAACAGAGCTGAGTCACTGTCTCAAGGTGTGTTCAAGATAATGTTTAAAGCAGATGAACAAAAATGACCAAGTTTTGTATTTTATTAATATTTTAGAAGAGAAAGTCTAACACTGGAATCACAATTAAGTGAATGTCTTTAATTAATGTGTGCACACAGACACGCACGCACACACACAAGCATGGCTGATCTTCCCTAGCAGATTGGGAGATGAGCAAGGAAAGTGTCTAAGAAAGGCAGAGTGAGAGGCTGCAGCTGGAGGGCACCTTGGCACACTGTGACTAAAATGGCCAGGTGGATTTAGTGCACAACATGCCTAAACAACAGCACTAAACTAATTCGCCCCATCAGTAAACCTGACAGGAATGAGGAACAATTTATTGGTCTAGGATTTAACAAGTTTAATGTGAGTGGTGCAAGATGTAGAATCACTTTCCTGGAAAAAGAACAATTGCCTGTCCTGCAACAGAAGCTGATGTAGCGTGGGCATCTGCCTTTGGGGAGAAAACTGTCTTTGGAGTCCTTTCTCATTATCAGGTTTATCCTCAGTAACAAATTGTATGCCAGGACCCTCAAAACTCTCCATGCCCAATTATGCACACAGAAACTTGTGTAAAGTATGAGAAGGTATGACACTGCATTGAAAATTAAATTTTAATTTCAAAGAATAAAAGGCAAATGACAATTGCCATTGTCACTCAAAAGCACTACCGTTCTTATTCCAGAGTCAGCAGCTATGAAGCTTTGAGGACCAGTGTGTTGAGTCTTTCTCAAATGGCCCCTGAGTACCCCCGTGAGTGCATGCGTACACACACACACACACACACACACACACAATCCCACCTCCAGGCTCAGCTCATGGCAGCCAGGCAGCTGGGGATGTCTCACACAAGGCACAAGGGGCTGCTGCAGTTCAGGGCAGGGACCTGTGCCTTCTCAGGGCACAACTCTCTCCAAAATCACAGAAGAGCACACATCCCAAAGCTACTCCTGACTGATCCTCTTGCTTTTCCTCTCCCAGATCATCACAGTTCTGGTCTTGGCAGGGAACAGCCTGAACCCAGGTCCAAATGAGAACAGACAAGAGACAGCAGCCTTGGGAAAGGCACTAGGGGCCCAGAAGCCATGGGTTTCCCCAACTCCTAAGCAGGCTCTGGGGGATCTTTCCTTTAGCATTCAGGCACGACCCTGGTGCTGCACTCTTCCCTGAGATCTCAGCTGCCCCCCACAAGCTGCTGTCCAGAGGTCTCCACTTTTGTCTACCAACAGCCCCCAAAAGAGGCCATCACAGGTCACAGGGGATGGATTCGCCCAAACAGAGCTGGCCGCAGCCTCCAGAACCAGGCCACTCACCCTTAGCTGCTGAGGATGGGGAGAGGAAACCTGAAAGCTACATGAGCAGTTCCATATCAGCAGGACACAGACTGCTTTGCTTTGGGTCCCTGCTCAAAGTGCTTTCAAAGAGCTGCCCTTCAGAAGACTACCCCTGAGAACACAGGTGCCCAGGCCTGGCCCCTACAGGCAGGGCTGAGTCTGTCCTTGTGCCCCACCCTGCCTGTGCCTCTGGGCTGTTCTTCTTCTCTAGGGGAAGCAAGAGGTGCCAACTGCAAGGCATCTTTTCTCCACATCTAGTCCCACTCTCGCTCCAGGAAGCAGTGACAGGTTGCTCCCACTTTTAGTAGCAGTAGCAGAGGTTTAAAGACACTGAGCACTAGAAGAGAAACTCAGTTCTCTCTGCTGGCCAAGCCCCAAGGCTGCACGTTGCTGGGCTAAGCATACCTGGGCACCGCTCCCTATCTCTGTCCTGCACCCATCTCTGAGTGCCAGCTCTGCTCTAAAGGAATACCAGGCTGAATTTGTCCCCACGAAGGTCGAAGGTCGGGCCACCAGGCTGGGGTCCTCTTGTTTTTTTGGCTCAGGGGATCTTTTTTCTGCCACTTAAGAGTTGCCCTTTGATTAGTAGGGAATTGAGAGGAACCTCTGGTCCTTGGGGGGTTAGGAATTCGCAGAGCCCAGTTTGCAGAGCCCACTCCCTACGGTGGAGACCAACAATGAGCTAATTACATTTTTATCTTTCTAATTACCTGAGGATTTGTGTGAATGAGAGAAGCAGGGGGCACTGGAGGAAGTCCCCAAGCTCCCTACGAGGTGTTACAGGAAAGAGTGATGAAATCTCCACGGTGTCTACACCCCTCAACCTCTCCCACACCCCACTCTCGGTCAGTTTCGTGCAGCTAAACAAAGTTTCTAAAAGCTGTTCTCCGACCTTACGAAAATAAAGCCGCGCCTAGCGCTGAGCTTTGCACACAGACGTCCGAGGTTTTCCCTGAGGACGCATTCTAGTCTGGGAGAATTAAAAACTGCGGAGCGAGCAGCAACCCTACTCGGACACCAAGGAGCGCTCTGGCTGGGAAGTGTGAGGTGTGGCTTCAGGTTCGGAAAGGGGAGACCGGTTCCAGAACGGCGGCTAAGGACTAGCAAGCCCCGCCGGGACGGGTCCACAGGGCGCTGCGCGGCCCGGGTTGCGCTCGGCCTGCGGCGGTCTGCGCGCCTGGGAGCGAGATGGGCCGCGAGTGGGGCCCGCAGAGGGCCGGGGGGTACTTACCTTGCGGTTTCGAGGCTTCGGTGGCATTGGGCGGGCTCATGGCGATACAGACATCCCCCTCGGGGAACTTGTCGCACTTGAGCATCTCGGGCCAGTAGAAGCCGAAAAACTGCATGACGGGCTCGCAGGAGTCGCGTACGGCCTCGCAGAGCCAGCGGCACGGGTAAATGGGCCGGTCGAGGCACACGGGCGCGAAGAGCGCGCACAGGAAGACCTGCGTGCCCATGTGGCAGTTCTTGTTGAGCAGGGGCACCCAGCTGCTGGCCTGCTGCTTCACCTCGGCCATGGTCTCGTGCTCCAGCAGGTTGGGCAGCACCATCCTCTTGTAACCCACGTTGTGGCACAGCCGCAGGTCCGCCGGGATGTCCACGCACTGTGGCGGCTTGGTATAGAAGCGCCCGCTCTGGTACGCGCCGATGTCCGACTGGAAGCTCACGTAGTCGTACTCGCTGGCCGAGCCCACGGCCAGCAGCCCCGCGGCCAGGGCCAGCAGCGCGCCCCCCGCGCCGCGCCCGCTGCCCATGCCGGCGAAGTCGGGGCGCGCGAGTCCCACAGCGGACTTGCAGGAGGCTGCGGGGACAAAGGCGCAGTGCTCAGCACGGCCTGGCTGCGGCCTCGCGCTGCTCTGGTCTCCAGCCGCGCCTGCCCTGGCCGGCCGCGGGGGCAGCGGCAGGCTCCCGAAGGTGTCCGGTGTTCCCAAGGCGCGGCGTGCGACGGGCGCGACACCTCTGCGCAGCGATCCGGGCGAGCAGGGCGAAGGCGCCGCGCGGGGCCGGGCGAGACTCCGCGTGCAGCCAATCAGCGCCTGGCTGCGTGGGCGTCACCCGCGTCGGGAGCCAATCGCCTCCCTGGCGAGGGTTTCGGCTTGTAGCAATAGACACGGGTCAACACCCCTTCCAAAGCAAAGGCGAGAAATAAGCGAGTAAGAGGAGGAGGAAAGTAGAAGGAAAGGCAAATAAAGGAGAACTGGTAGAGGTGGTGTGGTGGTAAACGGGATTCTTGTGATCCGCTCGGGTCTGTGCTGAGGAACGAGGGGCCTCGACAGGAAGTCGGGCGATTATGAAGGCAGCCTTGCGCTTTTCTACTTTCAGGCAGCCGCTCTCAGATGAGCAGCGCCGCTCCAAAGTTTGGTTCTCAGAGGCCATGAACAGACTGCCGCTCACAGAAGACTGCAGGGCGGGCTGTCTGCTGCAAGTCCCCTGCTGCCCCTGCAAAGACAGGGAAGGTGCCTTCCAGACTGTGCTTGTTCAAATGCAACGTTGCTCCGGGAGTGACAGCCACCTGGTGTCCTTAGGCCTCGCTAGAGGCAAGAGGTGAAAGCTGCTGAGGTCGGTGGGTGGGAACCCTTGCTCAGAAAGATGCTAGCCTTGGGAGAAGAACTTTACGTATTTTTTCTGAATAGTTTTGTTGTTGTTGTTGTTGTTGTTGTTGTTGTTGTTGTTGTTGTTGTTTTTTAATACCGACTCAAGTCCCTGCCTGGCCGACAGTACATCTGTGTGTGCACACACACATGCATTGACATGTTTGTGGTGTGGAAAGCCAAAACATTAAAAACACACGTGTGCTTATCAGCATGGCTGTGTACATATTAAGAACATCTCTCAGGCGCACATGCCACGTTCAGACCCAGTCAATGAACCTCAAGTCAACCAAAGGTCCCCGCTAAGGCAGGACAGGATTGGCAGCAGCAGCTCAGCTGTCTCTTCTCTGCCCTGGGAGCAGTAGACCTGCTGTCTCTCTCCACCTCCCTCCTGGGCTTTCTTTGTACTTTGTTTCAAGCATCACCCCCAAGGAGGTTCCGGCTTCTGCCAGCTGGGAACATCACCACAACTGACCCCAAACTGCAGGCGACATGTTCCAAGGAGCTCTGCTGCACTGGGGCTCCGCGTGCTTGTGCCCTTATGTGTGAGTGAGGGGAAGCCAAAGATGTCTTTAAAAACGTGCCAGCACTAAGAATCAATCCTGGTGATAGACAGGATCTCAGACGGGATCTAGAGGTGCCACACTGCTGGGCAGGCTTGTTTATAGAGCTCTGGAGAAGCTGGCTTTGGGCTCTGCAGACCTACTTTCTTGATGGAGGGATTTCAAATAAAACTACTACAGCTTGTGAAGAGAAGCAGGGCTATTTCTTCAAAGTATTTATGCCAGCTTGGAGGGAGGTAGTCCACTGCACAAAGAGCTGCTCTCCAGAGACACATTGGCAGATGATACGGTTCGCTTTGTCTTTTCTAGAGCCATTAAAGTCAGAGGGGCACAATGGTGGCAGTGAGACAGAGAACAGAGCAACATTTTGGCTGGCCAAGGGTTAATCCAGAAACAATTGGTACTGCTTACCCCCGGGAGCTGGGAGGACATTCCTCCCAGAGAACAGACTACATGAAATCAGGCAACTGCATCTCCATGCTAGGGGCATTTAGAGAAAAGTGCTGTTTGGAAGGGGGTCATTTTCCCCTCTCCAGGCTAAGCCCTGGTCCTGGTCCAGTGTATGTGCAAACTCACTCTTTGAAAGAACTGGTGTTTGTAGGTAGCATTCTCTTACCTCTGTACCCAAATTTAGATGACCTGTCACTTGTATTTGCACAAATTTCCCAAATGATAGGAGGAGGGTTTGGTAAGGCTGCTGTCAAAATTCTGGACATTAGTCTATGTCACTGTACCTCCACCACCAGTCCTTGAAGTCCCCTGTTGGAAGTCAACCTCACAAATCTATTCAAAGGAAGACCTAGCCTGTGTCTGGTCACCTCACAGTGTCATTGATTATCCCCAATCTTCAGCAGCCTCACTGTGCCTCTGATGGTCTTCCTGCTGCAGTGTTGATCCTCCAGGTTTATGGCAAGCATGCAGTCGGATCCAGAGCTTCCTGCTTCCGCATCAGGGTCAGTAGAATCCTAAGTTCTGAACCTGCAAATGGCTGGTTACTTCCAATACCCTGCAGAAAGGAAGGGATCTAGGTCTCTGGTCCCTAACAGCCTTGAATCCCACTTGGGACTCCATAGAGATGCTTCTGCTCAGTACACACATGCACAGCACCTCTAGGCAAAAGAAACCTCCTCATCCAGAGGCCCTTCTGATGGTTGATGTATTGTGTCACCTTGAGAAGTCTAGAAGCTGAACTAAGTATCTCTTCAGTTCCCCATCCTAACACATAAAGGACAAGCCCTTACCCCTCACTGATGTTATTCATTGTGTCAACTTGAGAATTTAGAAGTTTAACTAAGTGACTCAGCAGGGGGCCATGGTCCTCACTTTGTAAACATCCTGAACCTGTCTAAGAGGAGGGCAGTGAAATGGTGTGAGCGCAACACCCATCTGAGGGCAGGTAGCTTGTTTACAAGACAAGGAGGAAAAGAAGCTCTCCATCCTTTTGCTTTTGTTGCTTTTGCTATTTTCTGCCACCATAAACTGCTGTCATCTGCTGTTCACCACCCTGCTTTGGAGCAAGCTGATTATGGACTGAAACCTCCACAAACTGTGGGCTAAGTCTTTCCTCCTTTACCTTTGGGTGTCAGTTAGTTTGTCTCAACAACCAAGAAAAGTGACCAAGGCAGCATGTGCCATGTTCTTGTCCTTTTTTAGATTGTCAAACCTATATTTATAAGTCCAGTCTTCCTTTTTCTGATGATGGATGATGATGATGATGACGATGATGATGATGATGATGATGATGATGATGATGATGATGATGTTGACTATGACCGTGTGTGCATGCACGCGCACGTGTGTGTGTTACACAAGGGAAAGTATGAGGACTGAAGCTCTTAAAAATGCTACTGACTCACCAAAGCTCCCAGAAACTAGGGTTCTCTGTATCAGAACTAGCCTGGCAGCCCATGCTCCCCTCTTTATCCAGTGGTTGAAATGAAGGAGGGCAAATACAGCGTCAAGTTTGTGCCTCTCATTTCAAAACAGTTCTGATTTTCCCAGCTGACCAGGTGTCCATACCTGAAAACTGAACATGAATACTCTGTTGTTTTACAACACCAATTTAGGGAGTCATTTTTCAGCCCCTGTGGCAAAAAGCAGGAGGTCAAGTCAGGCAGTATCACAGAGGGATCAAGCTAGTAACCTCTTCCCACACAGAGAACTCAAGGCAAGGATGGGAGGAGCCTTCTGTTCTGCTCTGTGAGCTGTGATATTTAGGAATCTGTCCCAAGATACCCTCATTGTCTGTTCCATCAGGACAACAGTAGGACCGAGAGATGCCTGCCTGGAACCGGGTGGCAGCAGGTCTGGCATAAGGCCAAAGAAAGTATCCTAGCTGAGTCAAAATAAGATGTGGCCTCAGTTCTGCTCCCACAGGCTGGGGGATGCCAAGGAAGTGTGCTACCTGGCCCCACCCCTACTGGCCTTAGCATTCTCTTGTAAGACCAAACTCCTAAAGCCTGTCCTTCAGCCCTGCTGAAATGAAGGATGGGAATGCTCAGTGTCTAGAGTCACAGGAGTCGTATTCCAAAAGCTTACAGATGTACTGCATGCAAGACATGGTAAAGTCCAATATTGTTACTTGGACATGCTTCTTTCCCTTCAGTCTCTCACACAAGCAGTCTCAACCCCCTAACTCTTGCCAGGACTGACTGGACATGCCACTGGGCTTTGAAATGCCTGGGAAGCATCTTAAAGAATTGGAAAGGTGGTTGTGAAGACAGCTCAGCAGTCTAAGCACCTGCCTAGGCAAGCGCAAGGACCCAGGTTCAATCCCCAGTACCACATGCCATGTCAGCCCCACCCTGGGCATGCTAAGGTAGCCATCAAGACTAGGTGTGGTAAGGCACGCCTGTAATCTCAACACTGGGGAGGCTGAAATAGAAGGATCACTATGAGTCTGAGCTGACCTCTACCAAATACATAAAATTTAAAACAAACAATTCAAGAATTAGAGAGGAAGAGTTCCCAGCCCTGCAGATCGCTGGCATCTGCATCTCCTCTGCACCATTAAGAGACACCAGGAATCCAGCTGTGACTGCCAGACCCTTTCCCTTTTTAGAATTCAGCCACCAAAGGGAGGCAATGCATTAGGACACTGTGTCCTGTGGAGGGAAACTGCAGCTTCCTCCCTTGGTCATGAGCGGTGTCCAGTGACAGTGCTGTGGTTCCAGTCCTGTGTCTTTGTTCAGAATACATGAGGTTACCCTGAAGGGAAAACTTAGTCGAACTGGGCTTGACAATTTTTATCCATTTGTGGATATAATAACTTATTTATAACTATTCAAATTGTAGGTTTACATGCTATCTTCCAGAAAGAGAACAACGAAAATTGAAAGGCAAAATTTGACATGACTTTTCAAACAGATACAGAAATATTAAATTATCTATTTCTCAAATCCAAAGCCTCACACTCATGAATCTTGAACTCCAAGGGAGAATATCTAGCAACTGCCCTGCAAGGTCCCCCTGCATCCCTCCCACAGCCCCTCTAACCACCAGGGCTCTACTCACCAGCACAGTTGCTTCTTTGGGGGGGGGCAGAACCAGGGTTTAAACTTAGGTCCTTGCACTTGCTGGGGAAGCGCTTATTCCACTGAGCCATCTCCCCATCCCCCTAGTATAATTGCTTCTGTTTGCTCCTGTCTTTGACAGGCACGGTGCACAAAAGCCCTTTGCTCAGTCTGGAATGCCCTCTATGACCTTAATACCAACTCTTATATGTTGGTTCATAGACTTAGCAAATGAAAATGAAGAATACCCAGTAAAATTTGAATTTCAGATAAGCAATAAATAATTTATAGTCTAGGTGTATCTCATGCAACATTTGGGAGCTACTTATACTACAAAATATTTCTTTTGTTTATCTGGAATTCAAATTTTCCTAGGTATCTAATGCTTCATCAGCAAGCCCACCTCTTCCCCCTTACAGCATTGCCTCTGCTTTGTCTTGCCTGATTTCTTGTCTGCTCATCATTTTCTTCCCTGGTCCCCTGCCAGTTGCAGCCCCCTGTGTCCAGAACACCTGAGCACATACCCTTACAGACAGGCAACGTGTAATTGCTGACTTCTAGGGGTGTGTTAGTTGGCTGTCAGCTCCTAGAGGGCAAGGACCTTGACTTATTTTGTCTGGCCCGTCCTTGCTGAGCCTATACTGAAGGCTCAGAAGGTACTCCAAACTGATGATGAGTAGGCATGTAGCAGAGGGAGGCAAATGTGTAGAATATCCAAGCTCGTTAGGCACTCCTCTTGCACAGAGTCTGCCCTGAGTCTTCCCAGAACTACTACAGTAATGAAGGGTGAGTAGCTCTCACAGTTCTCTTTCTCTTCAGAAAAGAAAGCTCTGGATTGTGGGGGAATGGTCATAACTGTTTGTACAAAGCCTGCAGAGTATAAGGTCTTGTATTGACTTTTTCCCAGTCCACAGCCAACCTTGTGTCCAAGGCTATGTGGAAGGTTCAGTTCTCTCTCCTCAGGGACCTGTGTGCAGGTTGCATAGGGGAGGATGTGGGTAGGTGGATTCATTAGTGC